TGTATAGGCCCATGAAAAGTTGCTTCCAGGTAAGTTACTTACTCGAGAACGTGAGAAGCTAGAAGACTGGAATTTTGAGGGGATGTTTCTGACAGTTCTGGCGGCCAGTCTGAAATTCTTTCAACTAGAAGCATCTGCCAATAAAACCGATGCCGGTAGCGACAAAAACTGCGGGGAGCTCTGCAAAAAACACATCTTCGTACGGGCAGTCCGTGCGTTGGCCAATTATTCTTTGTTTGCCTACACTGCGACCAAATTACACGTGCGGCCGTATGGTACGTCTCACCCCGTCTTGCTCCAACTTTTTAAACGTTGTCAATTTCATCATTTTCATTAGCATTTTAGTTGCATTCCAAATTTTCCAGTACCCTGTGAAGCTCCTTCTCCAGAAATTTTCAGCCTCCTAATTCTTCTACTCTCGATGTAATTTTTCTCACCAAAACTTCCCCAACGGCACTGAAAATTAGCGGAGTTGTATGTGGGCAGGGGAAGCCACACTAAAATTTCAGTTTTCTTGCTTTTGCAGTTCACTAGATAACAGTTTCCCTACCAAAAATTTCACGGGGCCATACGTGCCCAAGGGTGCGTGAAGGCTGAATTCAAATTTGCGGGAGTCGTACGTTAATGGGGGACATCGCTCTAAAATTTCAGATACCCAACTTTCATGGTTCACGAGATAATAATTTTTTCCGCTGAAACTTTCACAGGGCTGCAAGCGATACCTGAGCGTACAGTAAGGCTGAATTTAAATTCGCGGGATCATATGTGCACAGGGCACACTACCGCAAAATTTCAGCTTCATGATTTTTATGGTGCCGAAGATAATAATTTCCTTACCAAAATTTCCACGGGACCGCAGATGATACCCGAGAGAGCGGGAACGCTGAATTTGGATCTGCAAGTCGTACGTGAGTAGGGGATTATTACCCTAAAATTTCAGCTTCCTAGATTCCGCGGTCCCCGTCATAATAATTTACTCGCCCAAATTTTCACGGAGCTGAATGTGTTACCCGCCGACAGGGGAAGGCTGGATTTAAATTTTCTGGGTCGCAGTGGGCATGAGACATGCCCACAGAATTTAGGCCTTCTGACTTTCATGGTTCCCACGATAATTTTACCCGCAAAAATTTTTACGGGGCCGTACGTGCTACCCGTGAGTACAGGGAGGCTGAATTTAAATTTGTGGGGTCATATGTGGGCGGGAAACATCCCCCAAAATTTTCAGCTTCCTAGCTTCTGTGGTTCCCGAGTTGACAGTTGCTGCAGAAAAAACACACACACACAATGTGACAATATGCGCTTTGTGCAGCTGATGCACAGCACAAAAGCGTTAAAAACAACTCAAGAGAAAGTGACATGCGTGTGTAGTTATTAAGTGAAGATATGCAGTTTAGGATTAACTTGATGCGCCATCTCAATGATAATACATCACACGGACATTTTAGGCGGTTTTCAGTGAACTAAAAATTAGAAAAAATTCTGAGTTTCAAATCGGAACAGTGAAATCAAAACAGTGCCAAAACAATTATAGAATAGTGACAAAGCGTAGCCACAGCACGATCGCGCACTATAGCTTTAAGACTGCTTGTACAGGAGATACAAGACTTCCCAGGCGGCTATTCAATTTTGCGTTCACTGAACAGTCTTCCTCAGCGTGCCGCGAGTTTTCTCCAAAATTGCATTCATATCCAGTGCTTCACCTAAACAGAACGCAAATTCTGCGATAAACCAAAAAGGGCTTCGAATCGCGTGAATTGAAAAACTTAAAAAACCAAGTGAACTGATGATGACATAATCCGTAGAGCTATGTATGTAACTTGCAAGGATAAAAATGCCCCACTTTATATGGAAGATTGTTAATGGTTCCGAAAACTGGACCTTTATGTTAAACGATGTTTTCAAACCAGTGCCGGAATGATTGTTCTTGTATTTACATTTCACGCGCACATACTTTTGCCTTTTAGATGTGATGCTCAACAGGATCATCCGGATTGCCGGTGTTAACACTGAGCTAGGAATCACCTAAGCTCCAAGCGCATTTAAGCAAAGCCTCTTATTTTAGGGCGTCCATGTTCTCTCGCTACTCCACAACTTTATTATGTATATGTATTCAAGCTTTTCCAAAGGTAACCCCTGGTTTTTTGCTTGATATGCCAATTTATAAATACAGTAATGATATAGTAACGTATAAACCAGTCCGTAGTAAGCTAAATTTTCAAAATTTCATTTTTTGCTATTTTTTGCTATTTCCACGCGTTTTCGTTACGCTTATTACTAATGTATGTATTGCTTTGCGTGCTTGTGCACAAAGTGCAGTAAAGAAGCACGTACCGGGAGGAATTCCTTCACCGCCGGGCGTTTTACACGCTAAGTCAACTTCTTTTCTGAGTACACGATCAATATCCACTTGACTGAAGAAGGCAACGGACTGAAAAGAAAGCACTCCATAAAAATTGACTGTTCAGAAAACATAAAAATTTTTTTAACAGCTAGAAGAGTTATTTTAACTATACCTAACTAGAGCTAGAAACTTCACCCCTTTATGTCAAGCAAGGGATTTTTTTTTTTGCAAATGAATTTAAGCGAACCATTGGCAGCTGATTGATGCCTAATTTTTGCGAAATCATTGCGCGCACATACATGTTGCTTATGGTCAATGCCAGTGCACATCGGTAACGATCCTCAGTCGGTACAATATACCTAATCTGAAAGCA